TATTGATTTGAGACCTCAGTTGATGTTGTAATAAATCTGTTGATTGTATACCACTTCTTGGTTGTTTGCTTGTTTCATACAAAGACTTTTAGTTTTTTTACGTACAGATGTCTGGGTTAACATATTGTTTCAATTTGGGAATCGACACATAATCGCTAGTTTCATTCCAGTTCCCAAACCAGGAAAGCATTATGGAAATCCTTCTAATTATCGCCCAAAAGCTTTACCTAGTGGCTGCCATCCGTGAAGATCCGGGGTCGAATAGGTCTTCAGCAACCCATGCTTGCCATAAAAAGGCGACTGTGCTTGTCGTAAAAGGCCACGAACGGGATCGCGTGGTCAGGCTCGCTGACTTGACTGATGCATGTCATCGGTCCCAATTGCATGGATCGATGCTCATGATGCTCATCTCTGGTCCAGACTCGATTATTTACAGACCTCCGTCATATAACTGGAGTATTGCTGAATACGGCGTTACACAAACAAACAAACAACATCTCTATTAAATTAGGTTTAGGAGTCGTACGAGTCGCAGCTCAGACATCGGACAAACAACATTACTTCACAAGGGACAGACAATTCCCAATTCATTGAAGGTCATTATTCTCTTCAAACTACAATATCATTATCTATTTATGATAAAAAAGAGTGAGTAAGTGGGTTGGGTTTAACGCCGCTTTTAACAGTATTACAGTTATATCACGGCGTGTCAGCTTAATGTTGGAGGAGAGCCCGAAGTGATGCACGTCTCAGACATCACCCACAATCATAGGTTTCATCATAGGGACGCAACTCTGCACAGCGAATCGCGGCGCCTTAGCCGACTGGGCCACCCGTGCCCCTTGATCAATATATATATCATTTTAAACACATCTATACGATGGATAAGTAAAGGTTAATCATTAAATATCTTATGAGATATATGAGTAACGAGTTCGAGATATAGGCTGATTTACAATTATGTAAATAAGTAAGGGTCTAAGAAGATCAATGAAAGAAAAGACACTGTCATTTTATATGAACTATTATACTGGTGATGGCAGTCTAGACAACATGCCTATGTCTACTAAGTTGTAAGGCTCTGGTAGTTCATATAACTGTCGGTCACTTACTTGAGTGAAATCATGTCTCTTGTACTATTGGGTCTAGTGTGGTGTTTGACGGCCACTGTTGGACCAAAACATCACTCTGACTCTTCAGAAACAGTAGAAACGGAGATAATAGAAATATTTTCAACTGTTGGTGTCAATATGTGCAATGAAAAATGCACAACCAGAACTTCATGTAGGAGTTTTGGACACGATTCTGTCAACCTTGTGTGCTACTTGTTGCTGCGACAACAGGACAAAACAGAAGAATATGGAAAATGTGTTTTCATACCAAACAAAAACACAAAAGTAAGTAGTTAGGTAATTCGACTTGCAAGACACGCATTTGACACTGGAATTTGGTTTGAATAGGTTACAACCAATTATGTAAGGCTGTGCGACGTGGTACAACTAGCCATCATATTTTGTGACTTGAGGTTCTATGGGCATATTCCCTTGTTGATCATTGCAATAGGATGCACAAAGCTTGGGAATATTGGACCAGTAATCCTATTTGGATATCCTGTACTTGGATTAAAATGTACATGATTTGGGGCATTTAAGATTAGTTAAAGTTCATTATTTTGATACTGCAGAGTACATTGGTATCCCAATGCAGGTACAGAAATATGCATCGATCAAACTTGTAAATAATCTTTAAATAATCGAGTCTGGACCAGACAATCCAGTGATTGACATCATGAGCATCGATCCACATAGTTGGGATCTATGACATGCATCAACTAAGTCGGCGAGCCATATTTTGTGTACATGGTACTGACAGATACATTGTGTATAGGGTACTGATAGTTACGTTGTGTGTATAGGGTAATGATAAATGCATTGTGTGTATGGGGTACTGATGGATACCTTTTGTGTATAGGGTACTGATAGATACTTTTTGTGTATAGGGTACTGATAGACACATAGTGTGTATAGGGTACTGATTGATACATTGTGTGTTTAGGGTACTGACTGATACATTGTGTGTATAGCGTACTGATTGATAAATTGTGTGTATAGGGTACTGATAGATACATTTTTTGTATAGGGTACTGACATATGCATTTTGTGTATATGGTTATGATAGATGCATTGTGAGTATAGGGTACTGAAAGATACATTGTGTGTATAGGATACTGATAGATACATTGTGTGTATAGGGTACTGATAGATACATTGTGTGTATAGGGTACTGACAGATACATTTTGTGTATAGGGTACTGAAAGATACATTGTGTGTATAGGGTTATGATAGATGCATTGTGTGTATAGGGTTATGATTGATACATTTGGTGTATAGGGTATTGATAGATACATTGTGTGTATAGGGTACTGATACATATACATACGGTTTATAGGGTACAGATAGATACATTGTGTGTATAGGGTACTGACAGATAGATTGTGTGTATAGGGTACTGATAGATACATTGTGTGTATAGGGTACTGATTAATACATTTGGTGTATAGGGTATTGATAGATACATTGTGTGTATAGGGTACTGATACATATATAAATATATATATATACGGTTTATAGGGTACTGATAGATACATTGTGTGTATAGGGTACTGTTTGATACATTGTGTGTATAGGGTACTGATACATATACATACGGTTTATAGGGTACTGATAGATACATTGTGTGTATAGGGTACTGAAAGATACATTGTGTGTATAGGATACTGATAGATACATTGTGTGTATATGGTACTGATAGATACATTGTGTGTATAGCGTACTGACAGATGCATTTTGTGTATAGGGTACTGATACATATACATACGGTTTATAGGGTACTGATAGATACATTGTGTATATAGGGTACTGACAGATAGATTGTGTGTATAGGGTACTGTTAGATACACTGTGTGTATATGATACTGATAGATACATTGTGTGTATAGGGTACTGATAGATACATTGTGTGTATAGGGTACTGACAGATGCATTTTGTGTATAGGGTACTGACAGATACATTGTGTGTATAGGATACTGATAGATACATTGTGTGTATAGGGTACTGATAGATACATTTTGTGTATAGGGTTATGATAGATGCATTGTGAGTATAGGGTACTGAAAGATACATTGTGTGTATAGGGTAATGATAGATGCATTGTGTGTATAGGGTTATGATTGATACATGTTGTGTATTGGGTATTGATAGATACATTGTGTGTATAGGGTACTGATACATATACATACGGTTTATAGGGTACTGATAGATACATTGTGTGTATAGGGTACTGACAGATAGATTGTGTGTATAGGGTACTGATTAATACATTGTGTGTATAGGGTACTGTTAGATACACTGTGTGTATAGGATACTGATAGATACATTGTGTGTATAGGGTACTATTAGATTCACTGTGTGTGTAGGATACTGATAGATACAGTGTGTATAGGGTAATGATAGATACATTGTGTGTATAGGGTACTGATAGATACAATGTGTGTATAGGATACTGTAAGATACACTGTGTGTATAGGGTACTGATAGATACATTGTGTGTATAGGATACTGATAGATACATTGTGTGTATAGGGTACTGATAGATAGATCATAATTTTATAATATTGTTGTCACGCTTTCATATTCTTTTCATCTGATCGAAGAGCATCCAAAATATAATTTAAAAATAAAGAAATACATTCCTCTGCCGAAAAGAGCCAGTTGTCCTGTAATTCAATCCGAGTCAGTGGCACATGAGTATTTGCGGTTGCACATTACATACTGTTGTCCTCAGGTCAAAGCTGGATCATGTTCATTGAAGACGTGCCAAGGTTTGAGGTGCCTCCAGACCCATACTGGAAAGACTGTCTGTGTCGAAGGTAAATTCCGAAATGTTCCCTACTCAATTAGTATGTAAAGTTATAATATTAAGAATACAAGATGTTTGATATTCATGAGTGTTATTGAAGAAGCAAGGAGACCTAATAACATCAACCGTGAAGAACACTGACCTCCTAATAACACGTTACGAATTAATAAGACAGATTATTACCTCCACTCCAAAAGAGGAAATTATTATTTGTTTCAGCAAAAAGTCTGTCTTTTTGTGTGATTCCATGATAGTATATATCACTATATAATGGAAAAGAGTATCATTGAAATATTTTATTGAGGAGAGTTCATCAGGGGTGGCCCCCAGCGCTTTTTCTTTGGTTTTCTTGCCTTCCACTTTTTGTCTTTTTATACTGCTGCCTTCAGATCTGTCCACATCTTTTCCCTCCTGGCTTCTTGCTTTACTTTCACTAGTAATGATTCTAAAAAAGATAAATGTGTTTCTTTTCACAAATAAATCTGAATAGATGTACAAAATATTCATATTTGTGTCCTTTCCTCTTACGTACCAGTCCTGGTTTGACACTTCATTTATTGAATTCGATTCATTTTGTATGATCAGTTTTTATTGTTTGTGAAATAATGTTTTATTTTCCATTTTTTGCAATGATTTTTACATTTTACAATTTTCTCGCTGGACAAGATTGATGCCGGCTTTGATGCAAGGGGGGAGTAACTCTAATCTTGCTTCATTCTTATTTTCAAAGAGGAGTAGTGAAGTTAATAGACTATACTGGAATTTTCTTCAAATAAACTAACGAAAATTGATCGTCAATTATGGAACACTCATGATAACAAATGTGATATGTAAAAGAACGAAAACATTTGAATTTACAATTTGAATGTTGCTTTCTCATCATGCCCAGATGGCAATATTTTAAATGTGTCTATTTTTCAGAGGCCACTTTCAGTAATATGGCTTTGGATAAGATCACTGGAGGCGTCACATGCATAATTTTCCCTGACTTTATGTGTATGAATGAAGTCGTAGCTTCAGCATTACAAAGGGAGCTGCAGTCAAATACACATACGGTATGAAAACAGATTTACACTGAACATGAATCGTAATCATGGCTCTGAAAGAAAACAGTTAGCGACAACCGTCGACTCCGCATTTAGTAAGGCCTCTGGAGGTATCTATGCAAACTAGTACCTGTGTTTTTATGGAAAATGTAACAAGCCAGATAGCGTAATTTGAAGATTCTGCCTCAACTGGTCACGTAGATCCTGCTCTAAAGATTCTGCCTCAACTGGTCATGTAGATCCTGCTCTATCCCTATTGAGTGGATCGATACTCATGATGTCAATCACTGGATTGTCTGGTCCTGACTCGATTACTTACAGTCCGCCGTCATATAGCTGAAATAGTGCGGCGTTAAACAACAAACATCCAACATCCTCAAGGGGCTGGACGTAGTCTCCGCAGATGCTCAAAGAGGGGAGATATGTCAGCAAAGCATTCTGACAATGGCAATAAGGCAGCGCTATTGCACTTGCAAAGTAATTGCTTATTCTCGTGGTATGACGTTGTCTGGCGTTGTCTTGCTGGACAATGACCCAGTTACTATGAGAAAGGACCAATAACAGGACGACTTCATCCCTTTTCCTGTCAGATCCCCCTGTATAGCGACCATAGATATTTTTGTTCCCAACAAATTGCCCCCCAAACCATAATAAAGTGGGCCACCATGGGGATGGACCTCTTGGATGCATCATTACATTAAACGGGTCATGAGTAAAAAGAGTGACTTAAGTAATCCCATATGCATTTTTCACAGGCAAGAAAAATATGCTTGTTAGTGAACTTCTCATTACTGATGATAAATTTGGGATTTTCCTCATTAAATCGAACGTGTAAACCTATAGTGACTAACATCTTCTCAAAATCACCTCATCCTGTCTTCAAGTAGTTTCAAGTAGGTTTGGGTTTAAATTCAAGAATTTTATTTATATTGACATTGGTATCCCACCTACTGAAGCGTAGTAAGGCCACGGTGAATTTTTTTTTTGTCTAAGTATCTCCTACGTAGGACTTATTATCTCCTACGTAGGACTTCTTATCTCCTACGTAGGACTTCTTATCTCCTATGTATCTCAATACACGCAAAAACTCTTCGACGCACAGAAAAAGTCAGTCGTCTGATGAGGTCACGTGGGATTTGACGCCATTCTTCTTGGAGGGCCAAGATCAGTTCTTTCCGTTGGCTGGAGAGTGTGGTCGTTGTCGAACACGACGATCCATCAAGTCCCAGAGGTGTTCTATTGGGGACATGTCGGGTGAGCGTGCAGGCCACGGCAGGACGTTGACATTGTTGGCTGCGAGGAAGTTAGTGATAATTCTGGCTGTATGGGCTCTAGCGTTGTCATGCTGATAAATGACACCACGTGGCTGCTGATGGGGAAATGGTGGGACACCTGGACGAAGAATGTTATCCATGTAACGCTGAGCTGTCAAGTTTCCGTCAACGATGACCAGCGGTGTCCTCTCCTGCCCACAGATCACTCCCCACACCATGACACTCCCTCCACCATATGGTACGACCTCCTGCACGCAACACGCCGCCGTTCGTTAACCCCTTCGGCGGTAAACACGTTGTCTTCCATCAGCACTGAACATACAGAATCGACTTTCGTCAGTGATGACAACAGTCTGCCAGTCACGTCGTTGCCAACGTCGTACAGTCCGGGCCCATCTCAATCGCAGACGACGATGTTGCGCTGTCAATAGCTGTCCTCTGTATGGTCTAAAAGCCCTGATTCCATGAGCCCTGTGTCTCCTGGCCACTGTCTGTCGACTAACCCTGTGACCTAAGGTATTTGTCGCCGATGACGTCACTGTCAGGAAGCGATTTCGGAGGTGCAAGCTACGCAAGTACCGGTCATCATGGGGCGTGGTCACTCGGGTCTGCCTGTTCTTGGCCTGTCAGCGGTCCGCCCTGTCTGTCTGTAACGTTGCATCAAGTTAGTAACGGCAACACGGGAGCAACCGAAAGTTCGTGCAATATGGGCGTGGGGGGCTCCCATCCGTGCCCATACCCAAGGCTCGTTCACGTTGTTCGACTGTGAGTCGTGGCATTTCTTTTGTGTTTTTTTATCACTGTGGATGCAATCGTTTTATACCCTTACCCGCACGTGCATTTGCAGTTGTCCGTGGTGCACGTGTTTTTCACTTTTCGCGTGTTATCTCGCAAACATGTAACAGACGATTAACATTTTCTGCATACACTATTGTTGTATTTAGGTTATGTGTTTTAGATAGACTTCATCAGAAAAAAAATTACACTTTGTCTGAAATTTATATTTTCAGTTGGTAAAGTTTCTTTTGGACGTCATTTTAGTAATGTATTTAACAACAATAATGTCGGTTTTGCAAGGAAAGTGGTTTTCATGAAGAAGTTGACATGATTCCGACTGTATCCAATGGTATGCATCTATTAGTGGTTTTCAAGGTATTGTCTTTGTACCTTGACCAAACAGTTTGATTCAGTTACAATGTTGAGTAATCCAAAAGGACAACAATGTTCCTTGTCGCATAGGAATGGAAATGTGTTTCTTGTAAAAACAGAAGATGGCTTTACGTTGTACTGTCTCACTTTCCAAATTGATGGTAGACACTGTGAACGTAGTGTCTGCTTATCCATCAGCACAACAATAGCTTGGACCAATCAATAACCGACTCAATCAGTACCACTCGAAGATCTACTAATGCACAGCACAGTCTGAACACACACAACTGTTCTTAAATACAGCAATTCTAACAGGTCAGCTGGCACGAGTTATCACTGCTTGTCAAAACACTTAATCGACATGCAAACTGAAGCAGCTTGCGACATAGATATGCGGATGGGCGTGTCATCACAATCGTATAAAACAGCCTTGTCCCCTGGATTTGACATCAGTTTTTCTGACATCAACCTACTATCAACATTATGGAAAAGTTTGCCCTTAACGCTGAACTGTACGAGGCAAAAGAAAGCATGTGAGCAGGTTGTCTTGTTGAATGACACGCTTGAAGGACTGCAGCATCGATATGACAAGGCCCGTCAAGAAAACCACCGTTCACCTCCGAAGCTGAATGGCCAGTTTGGAAAGCGTTTGCAATGAATACTACGAGTATGCTTGTGAAAAGGCCGATAAAATAGCTGAGTTGAGATATTACCTAGCTGTAGACACCGAGGCCGCCTCTGAAGACAACGACCACGGAACACTATACACTCCATCAGCTGACATATCCTTTCTTTTCAGTATCAGAGGCCAAAAGCTCTTGTCAGAGCTACACAAATATCACAAATGAATGCTATGAACATTAAAAATCACGTAAAGTCATTCACAGCTTCTTTAATTGAGCTATATCCATTTACAATGTACGACTACCGATCAATAGATCGGGGGTTCCCCATGAGAGTGCCGCAGCCGACCACTTACGCAGCTTTCAATTTGATTTAACGTAAAAGGATAAGCAGGGTGAAATGAAGTCAGTTTAAACTATCAGGACAGATACTAGTATCTAGACTTACTTGGGATGATCTGTTTGTACCATCAGTGTTCCCTTCGAAGCATATTTTGTGGCACTGTTTCGGGAGTTGTTTGTTCACGACTGCACGACCAGATCACTCAAAGTGAACATTTCCGATACAAATCATTCAAAAACTCTGTAGAAGTGTGCCTGACATTCCTAATCTCTAACGTAAAACGCTGTGAGTAGATCATGGTTGTCTTTTCTTATTCCGGTGGTGACCTCGCCTTTCGATCGTTCGAAGCTGTTACGGACATGCAAGCAGATTTGGGTTTGTTGATTTTCAAGTCTTCAGTATAGGGTGGTACAGTTAACATGAATGTCTTTGACGAACACACTGATTTCCCTCTTCAAAAAAGGTACATACATGATATGAATTCAGCTGATAGATCAAGGAAACCGAACCATTTTGCCTGCACAGATGGGACCCCGGCAGTGCGAGTGTCCGACTGCTGGTCCGATATTCAAAGCGCGGCACTAATTTGACTTTTCAATTTTTCTTCGTCTGTCAACGAACGAAAGTTGTTATTTATTTACACTTAAATATATTCAACGTGGGTAATAAAAAAAATACAACTGTCATTCTCGTTTCGCTCTGTCAGATACCTAAGAAAGTCCACTCGTTTCGTAAAAATTGTATCTAACGAGAATGAGTGTAGTATACTCTATGTCTCTGCCGATGCACGACGGCGGCTGTCTGTCAGTGACGAGATCTTGTCAAAACAAGCCTTGATTAAAAAACCTGAAGAACCTATTTGGAAACATGTCTTCTTTATCATTGCGAAGTAGTGTAGGCTGTGTAAAGCAGACAGAAATATAACTGCAATAATGTGATCTTTATGTTTTTTTAACAGAACTATACTTTTCACGCATAACAGCACGTTAAGTGAGTAATTCGATTGGAGTGAGTGTACACTGTTTTTTTCACACGAGGATTGATACAGTTGCTTCTTGGTCGGCGACAGGGTTTTTTCCACTTGAAACGTCTTTAATATGATTATGAGTAATAAACAGTGAGTGAGTGAGTGAGTGAGTGAGTTAAAGTTTAACGCCACATCGGCAATATTTCAGCCATATCGTGACGAAACAAAATTTGACATTAACATAATATATTAAACTGTATAAAATTCAAAATTCAATAAACAGAATAACCCACTCGGTACGAGTGATTACAGAAAATAGCTATAGGTCACTCGTGAAATTAATGTTTTAAGTTCCGAGCTTTAGACAGGAATTTACAAAATTATTTTCACTCGTGACGTATTTTCCGTAATCACTCGTACCGAGTGGGTTATGAACTGCACCAGCTGAGTTAAATCTCAGTGCCAATACATAATCCTTTCCTTTATTATGCCTCAAAGTGAAATTGACCAGTCAGAGAGCAAAACTACGAACCCATTATGAGCCCGTATACCGCCAGTAAAAATCCAAGATGGTTGTTAATGACCTACTATGAGACCGTATACCGTCAGTAATAGCCATTTTTGATTTTCCAACACCCACCTCACATATTTCACATGAAAATTCTGGTACATAAATTCGTTAATAAAAACTTTAGTAAAGATCATATGAAGTTAAAATCATCTACAATGTTTCGCTTCTGAGTTTGGAAGAGTAGTCTCTCTTTGACCCGAAACGTCTTAGGTTGTATGTGTAAGTTTTGAGTTTTAAGTTTTGACATGTCATGTGCGACAAAGATACCAAATCTTTTCGGCATAATAAATACGTTAGTGGCCGTATACGGTGTCATATTATGACGCCTCGCCCAATATTTTTCTGCTAACCTAATATGACATCGTATACGGCAACTGAAGACACCATAACGAATAATATGTTCCTGTCTTACAGCAAAGGAAAACAAGCAGCAGTTCCTGACCCAGCCTCACACCAAGCTTCTGAGTTCCACCATTGATGGTGACCTTTGTGGAGTCAAACTCATCCTGCTCGAGGCCCAGGCAGTCATCAACACCAGAGGTCTGAACAGGAGGACCCCGGTGATGTTTGCAGCAGGGAAAGCACACAAAGACATGTTTGACTTACTTGTTAGGGAAGGAGCGGATCTATCTCTGCTGGATAAGGACAGAAAAACGGTTCTACACATTGCCTGTGAAGGAGGAAACATAGGTATAGTGAACTATATCCTCACAAAGGACATTGTGGGCATCGACAACAGAGACAACTTGAGGCAGTCAACAGTTATGAAAGCAGCTCTCAACGGCAACAAAGATGTGTTTGAGATACTTGTGGGGAAAGGAACTGATCTGTCATTTGTGGATTCTAACGGTGGCACAATATTGCATCTAGCCTGTTCAGGAGGAAGTATTGAGATAGTTAATCATGTCTTAACAGATACGCATTTGGACATAAACAGTAGAGACGAGGAAGACTGCACACCGATGCTGAATGCGGCAAAGAAGGGACACAAGCATGTCTTTGATCTACTGGTGAGCAAAGGAGCTGATATGGCCCTTCGGGATCGTGCCAGTAACACCGTTCTTCATGCAGCCTGTGAAGGAGGTAATATTGAAATAGTTCAGTATATTCTTAGGCAGAATGTTACATCCATTAACGCCAGACGCTGGGAAGGGGTAACACCAGTGTTAGTAGCTGCAGATAATGGACATGAGGAAGTGTTTGACCTGCTTGTTGTGGAAGGTGCTGACCTTCTTATAGTAACTGATTTTAGGGACAACATCCTACATGAGGCTTGTAAAGGAGGAAACATGAAGCTGGTGACGTATGTCCTCAATCAGAACATTGTGGACATCAACAGTAGAGGAAAAGATAGAATGACACCAGCAATGATAACAGCCTCCATGGGACACAAAGATATATTCGACTTACTGCAGGAGGAAAGAGCTGATCTGACACAAGTGGATGAAGATGGCAACAACATTCTCCACAAGGCCTGTGAAGGAGGTAATATTGAGCTTGTAAGCTATGTTCTAACAAAGAACATTGTGGACATCAATAGTAAGAACATGCTTGGGACGACGTCAGCAATGGAAGCAGCCGTCGGTGGCCACAAAGAGGTGTTACATCTGCTCATGAGTACAGGAGCTGATCTGACCCCCGTTGATGATGAAGGTTCAGACATTCTTCATATTGCATTTTCGTCCACAGACAGGGAGACTGTCAAATTTATCCTTACACATAGCATTGTCAACATCAACGGTAGTGACAACGGAGGAATGACACCAGCATTACTGTCAGCAGAGATGGGGTACAGAGATGTATTCAATTTAGTTGTGAGAAAAGGAGCTGATCTGTCAAGTGTAGACGTTGACGGTGGCAACATTATTCAGAAGGCCTGTGTTGGAGGAAATCTGGACATTGTGAAGTACCTCCTAACGCTGAACAGCATTGTACAACACATCAACAGGAGAGGAGAGAGTGGCTGGACACCAGTGATGTTTGCGGCAAGTTTGGGGTACAAAGATGTGTTTGATTTACTAGTGAAGAAAGGTGCTGATTTGACTCTAAGAAATAAAGATCGCGACACTATCCTTCATTTGGCATGTAGAGTTAACATACAAATAGTGAGGTACCTGGTTTCCCGCAACATTGTGGATATCAACGTAAGAGAAGGTGTGGGAAGAACCCCAGCTTTTGTTGCTGCGGGATTGGGGAATATACGTATATTTGAGGAACTTGTGAAGAAAGGAGCTGATCCGACAGTGACGGATATATATGGGAGCACCATCCTTCAACATGCAACTTTGGGAAACAGGGTGGAAATGGTGAAATACATCATTTCACATGCGATTGTAGATATTACCTTAAAAACCAAACAGGGGTTAACTGCTGCTCTGATAGCAAAGCAACACGGGTTCACTGCAGTGTATAATGTGTTTCTGTCACATGCCTCTCTTTAAAGAATGCAGTAAATGGGGATGTGTCATATGTTTTAAAACGTTAAATCATGAAATCTCTCAGCACTCATGGTATTCAAACATGCGAACATATAATTAAATGGGATGGGGAAAAAACAAAAGCACCTGTCATGGTAAGAATACATGTCTCAACTAAGCACCCCACTTCCGAAACATGAGTGATTGCCGATGCAACGTTACCTTGCTCATTGAATATGAATATCGAATGAGATCACAGAAAGGGAGTGTGCTACATGACTAAGAGGGGAAATATCCTTATACACGCCTGATGTACTGTCTTCATCAGACTTCACACTAAACTCACCAATTGTAATAAATTTAAGTCTTTCTTTATTTTTTATCATTTCTTTATTCTTTTCTGTACATTCTTCCTTTTCTGTACATTCTTTTCATCTCTTTTCACATAAGTGTCTTACTTTTCTTAATTACTGTTTAGATCGACACTAAGTACTATCTTGAGTGAGCAAGTGAGTGAGTTAGTCGGATGTTACGCCGCTTTTAACATTATTCCAGTTATATCGCAGCAGTACTATCTTGATCAAATAATACATTAATGCAAATAATTATAATGACATTTTAAATGAATTAACCTAATAAAGTTGTCTAGCTTTTATACACATGTAGATGAGATAAATTGTAACATAAAAGTAGGTATGTTCTCTGATCTGATTGGTTAAAAAGTGTTGTCGAATGAGCATAACATGTGTATGTATACATTAATTAATGGAACTATTTTTGAAATCATCAACATGGAGGAACAGATGGAAATTTACCCTGACTTCCACATCGGAGATTTCGATGAAATATTGAGTGATTGGGACGACGAGACATTTTCTGAGATAATTCACGAATTTGAAGGTAAATGAAATTTACCTATTTTCATAAATTACCCAATCATAATCATAAATGATGTAATTTTCTTGGGCTTGGCTAAAGGGAAAAGAAAAGAAAATCATTTTTTAACAGAGTAAAAACATTTGTTGCAACTCTATAATAGTTATGACTTTCATACACCCGCCTACTTTTGTTATTATTATTACTCACAACAGCTGTTGAAGCTGAAAACCGTTCTGAGATGGCCCCTGAACTAGGAAATACAGCCAGCGTTTCCGTAGAGCCAAAAGTTCAAGCGTCCAGTGACCGCTTCGCGTCCCTTGATGCAAATGCAGTACAGGACATCGTGGATGGGAACCTCTCCAAATCTACTGGGCGTAATACCTCCTGGGGAGTTAAAATATTTCGACGTAAGCCATTGAAACATAAAAGAATACATAAACACATACCTAAAATTCCTACGCAGATTCGATCAACATCAGCGAGAGTTACCTCCCTTACACCATTGCCATGATAGAAAAGTAAAGCGTGACCAATGTGTCATCGCAAAAAAAGGCCATAATATAACGAGATTGACCAAAATCTTAATGTAAATTAAATATTTCGTTTTGTAAGATTTGGGATATGTTATACTAAATGGATATACGGAAATTTCATTTAAACACGACGCCGTAATAGGACTAGGCCCTTATAACAAAATGCCTAGCACAATAAATATAAATTGTTGAAAGATGTATGTTCTTCAAAAATATATATATTTAGACTCATAGTTTCAAAATATACGCGCGGTCCAGTCGTCACGCCAGAAACCAATGGTTATTGGTTTGCCCCGATTATGTTTCTAGGTTTGTCAGAATAATACCCGTGCTCGTGGGTTTCACTGAAGTGGTAAACGTCTGAGACCTGCATCACTTCGGGCTTTCCTCCCATATTTAACTGGTACGCCGCGATATAACTGGAATACTGTTAAACGCGGTGTTAAACCCAACTCACTCACTTACTCAAAATAAATATTATTCTTGCTTTGCAGATGCAGGTAAGAACAAGATGAAGCCTCCAAACAGACATGGGAGAGCCTAGCTGTGTCTGTCCATAACTTGTTCCATATGTTCACATGGACATGCGGCACCCTAGCTGTGTCTGTCCATAACTTGTTCCACATGTTCACATGGACGTACGGCACCCTGGCCATATCTGTACATAACTTGTTCCGTATGTTCACATGGACATGCGGCACCCTAGCTGTGTCTGTCCATAACTTGTTCCTTGTGTTTACATTGGCATGGGGAAACCTAGCTGTGTCTGTCCATAACTTGTTCCGTATTTTCACTTTGACATGCGGCACCCTAGCTGAGTCTGTCCATAACTTGTTGCGTATGTTCACATGAACATGCGGCACCCCAGCTGTGTCTGTCCATAACTTGTTCCATATGATCACATGGACATGGGCAACCCTGGCTGTCTGTGCCCATGACTTGTTCCGTATGTTCACATGGACATGCGGCACCCTAGCTGTGTCTATCCATAACTTCTGCCTGGTGTTTACATCGACATTCGGCACCCTAGCGGTGTCTGTCAATAACTTGTTCCATATGTTCACATGGACATGGGGAACCCTAGCTGTGTCTGTAGATAACTTGTTCCGTATGTTTACATGGACATACGGCACCTTGGCTGTGTCTGTCCATAACTTGTGCCTTGTGTTTACATGGACATACGGCACCCTGGCTGTGTCTGTCCATAACTTGTTCCATATGTTCACATGGACATGCGGCGGCCTAGCTGTGTGTGTCAATAACTTGTTCCATATGTTCACATGGACATGGGGAACCCTGGCTGTGTCTGTCCATAACTTGTTCCATATGTTTACATGGACATACGGCACCCTGGCTGTGTCTGTCCATAATTTGTTCCATATGTTCACATGGACATATGGAACCCTAGCTGTGTCTGTCCATAACTTGTTCCATATGTTCACATGGACATACCGCACCCTGGCTGTGTCTGTCAATAACTTGTTCCTTGTGTTGAGAGGGACATACGGCACCCTGGCTGTGTCTGTCCATAACTTGTTCCTTGTGTTGACATGGACATACGGCACCCTGGCTGTGTCTGTCCATAACTTGTTCCTTGTGTTTAGAGGGACATACGGCAGCCTGACTGTGTCTGTCCATAACTTGATACGTATGTTCACATGGACATACCGCACCCTGGATGTGTCTGTCCATAACTTGTTCCTTGTGTTTAGAGGGACATACGGCACCCTGGCTGTGTCTGTCCATAACTTGATACGTATTTTCACATGGACATACCGCACCCTGGCTGTGTCTGTTCAATAACTCGTTCCTTGTGTTTACATGGACATGCGGCACCCTAGCTGCGTCTGTCCATAACTTGATACGTATGTTCCAAGGACAAACGGGGTCCTGGCTGTGTCTGTCCATAACTTGTTCCGTATGTTCACATGGACATGCGGCACCCTGGCTGTGTCTGTCCATAACTTGTTCCCTATGTTCACATGGACATGCGGCCCCCTAGCTGTGTCTGTCCATAACTTGTTCCTTGTGTTTACATTGGCATGGGGAAACCTAGCTGTGTCTGTCCATAACTTGTTCCGTATTTTCACTTTGACATGCGGCACCCTAGCTGAGTCTGTCCATAACTTGTTCCGTATGTTCACATGGACATGCGGCACCCTAGCTGTGTCTATCCATAACTTCTTTCTGGTGTTTACATGGACATACGGCACCCTGTCTGTGTCTGTTAATAACTTGTTCCTTGTGTTTACTTGGACATACGGCACCCTAGCTGTGTCTGTCCATAACTTGTTCCTTGTGTTGACATGGACATACGGCACCCTGGCTGCGTCTGTCCATAACTTGATACGTATGTTCACATGGACATACCGCACCCTGGCTGTGTCTGTCAATAACTTGTTCCTTGTGTTGAGAGGGACATAAGGCACCCTGGTTGTGTCTGTCCATAACTTGTTCCTTGTGTTGACATGGACATACGGCACCCTGGCTGTGTCTGTCCATAACTTGTTCCTTGTGTTTAGAAGGACATACGGCAGCCTGGCTGTGTCTGTCCATAACTTGATACGTATGTTCACATGGACATACCGCACCCTGGATGTGTCTGTCCATAACTTTTTCCTTGTGTTTAGAGGGACATACGGCACCCTGGCTGTGTCTGTCCATAACTTGATACGTATTTTCACATGGACATACCGCACCCTAGCAGTGTCTGTTCAATAACTCGTTCCTTGTGTTTACATGGACATGCGGCACCCTAGCTGCGTCTGTTCATAACTTGATACGTATGTTCCAAGGACAAACGGGGTCCTGGCTGTGTCTGTCCATAATTTGTTCCTTGTGTTTACATTGCCATGGGGAAACCTAGCTGTGTCTGTCCATAACTTGTTCCGTATTTTCACTTTGACATGCGGCACCCTAGCTGAGTCTGTCCATAACTTGTTCCGTATGTTCACATGAACATGCGGCACCTTAGCTGTGTCTGTCCATAACTTGTTCCATATGATCACATGGACATGGGCAACCCTGGCTGTGTGTGCCCATGACTTGTTCCGAATGTTCACATGGACATGCGGCACCCCAGCTGTGTCTATCCATAACTTCTTCCTGGTGTTTACATGGACATTCGGCACCCTAGCGGTGTCTGGCAATAACTTGTTCCATATGTTTACATGGACATGCGGCACACTAGCTGTGTCTATCCATAACTTGTTCCTTGTGTTTACATGGACATTAGGCACCCTAGCGGTGTCTGGCAATAACTTGTTCCATATGTTCACATGGACATGGGGAACCCCAGCTGTGTCTGTCCATAACTTGTTCCGTATGTTTACATGGACATACGGCACCCTGACTGTGTCTGTCCATAACTTGTTCCGTATTTTCACTTTGACATGCGGCACCCTAGCTGAGTCTGTCCATAACTTGTTCCGTATGTTCACTTGAACATGCGGCACCTTAGCTGTGTCTGTTCATAACTTGTTCCATATGATCACATGGACATGGGCAACCCTGGCTGTGTGTGCCCATGACTTGTTCCGTATGTTCACATGGACATGCGGCACCCTAGCTGTGTCTATCCATAACTTCTTCCTTGTGTTTACATGGACATTC